AAACAAATCTATTTCAGAAAATTCACCTGCTACCCTCTACGGCTGCAGAAACAGCTTTTCGGTATTCCTGCGCTCGAAACTCAGAGATTTCGACGCGTCCACCTATGTCTCCCAGCGTTTTTGTTATCTTGTGTTAGTACTCGACTATACCTAACATTTGGTGCAATCCAGAAGGTCCCAATTTCTTCAGAAACCATTTCACATAAACTCCAGGTAAGCCACCAAGTGCATTGAAACAGAGGCTAGTATCCTCCACCTGAACTGACATGAATCTGCGCTTAATAGAAAACAAGTGGGTGCACAAGAGCATGTAAATCGAAAATCTCGCAGCTTCACAACAACAATAGACACAAAAGAAAATATTATAGGCTAAGATTGTACTAGGCGATCTTCATATTAGTTATTTGGGCATGTGAAAGAAGGAACAATTCTAGCGAATCTGGGAAAAAAAAAACACCGGCAACTTATTTTTTTACAAAGACATATGAAGCTTACCAGTAGTGGTCCTTCGACACGTTCAGCTGCTTCTTTAGCTTTACGTTCAGCTACATAGTCGGGTTCACCTTGAAATTCGTCCAAGTCCACATCAACGCTCCGTACCTTAACAACATACATAAAATTTTAAAAAATTTTTATTCTTGCAACCTTGCTCAATTCTAAGCACTTCAAAAAAAAGCAATGTCAGCATTTGAATCTCACTTAGACCATTACGGAAGCTTATCGATCAAAATTTATCAAATTGAGTAACAGATTTCGAAAACATGAACAATCAGCAGATCAGTCTCTCAAAAAGACTAACGATAGGAAACTATCAAATAAAAGCGATATGTATAGGCACCATTCACAGATCATAGATGAGAGAACAGTTTTCAAACATACCTTTTAATTCAAAGAAAATCACGCCGATCTGAGTGCTAGCGTATGATTATAAAACATAAAATTGAAACAGGGAGACATTCAAAATCTAGATACAATGCACAAAAAACAAGCAGAGAATTTGCACTGGCAGGATTCAGGCAACTACAAATATGATATAATGAGTGAAGAAGCATTTCAAATAGCTTATATATATATATATATATTATATATATATATAATACATGTTGAACAATTTATGGCATTTTCATTGCAACAGGTACCCTTGTTTGAGAATCTGGGACTGAAGCTATATTTCTCATTTCACGAACAAATCGCTGCTAATTTCTCTCAGCTAAAGTTTAACGAAATCAGAGAAGCTGCACAGAAATAACGTACGGTTTGTTCTTCTGGACCCAACCCGCAAGTGTTCTTTGTTCGTAATAGCACATGAGATGGGGTTTTTTAATTGATCACAACTGTTGCCGTGCGCTGTGTTGCATGAAAAGTAACTAGACACGCCATTCTATTACTTTACTCAACAGATACTAAGGATTTTTCAGTCTAAAACTCTAACGACTTAGTTGGTCTATGAACGCTCTTTCGAACTTTAAAAATAAGGAACGCTCTCCCTTCCAGCTGTGTGCGCGTAACAAAAGAAAACGCAAATCGCAAATGTCCAGAAATCGCGGTGAAAAAATTTCAATAAATCCTCGATAGTGAGCAGTAAGGAAGAAGATATGAGTAATGTGGGGCAGCAACAGAGGGCATCTAGTACTATAGGGCAGGTCACTTTTTCTACTTGCAAAAAAAAAGATATTACATTTTCTTTCAGCTCTTTGAGATTTCTGTCAGCTCCAAAGATATGTGGGCTTTCGTGGCCGCAAAACGTAAGAAATAAATTAGTACGCTTCAACCCGCGAGTCTCTAGCGCTGAACTAGTTAAAAATAAGACACAAATCCTTCTTTTGAAGTTAATTCATATAAATAGGGAAAATCAAAGTGATTTTTTACAATAGTTAGAGCAAGACGTTATAAGATGAGAAAATATGCTAAATTCTCTAAATCAATTCAAAAATGACTCTACTGCGGTCCCAGATATGACGCAAATCTACTGCAGCCCCAGATATCTCCTATATCAGAAGCATCGCAGCTTACGAGAACCACTCATGCAGCAACTTATTGACTTCTGAACTATCACTACTACAGAAACTAGCACATGAAACATCATCATCACATTCGTTACAGCTACTATCAAGAATGAGGGATGGTGACCTCCCGTTGTTTTGCGTTTCCCGAAAAGGTGACACGTAACGTGATGGACTCCATGAGGATTCCAGAAAAGAAGGATTCTCAAACGGCAGAGGGGTAGTACTCGAAACTATACCAAAGTTACTTCTTGAGCTTTT